AAATAAAATTCCTTTTTTTTTTTTTTTTTTTGGTCATTGCTTTCTATAAGTCATGAGAATTAGAAGGGAAAGTTTTGGACTAGAACTTTTTACCTTGGAACTTACTTATCTTTTTTGGGCTTCCTGCCTGTACTCTTCACACATTGACAGAGTTGCCATGGTGTCCCTCGCATGGTGTCACTCTCCAGTGGTCCCATTGTATTAATCCTGGAACTGCCTCTTCAAAGTAAATTGAATCATCTTTAAGGTTCAGAGAATTATTTCAGGATGTTATTACTGCGCTAGCCACCGACCTGATATTCTTCCCTCAAAGAGAATAGACTAGGTTATATTTCCATTATACATACTTGTTCTGCATGGTTTCAGTACATATGTCTGAAGTTGATATTTTACGTCTTTGCTTTAATTTCTTTCTGTCAAATACCACTGGCAAATTAGGTTTAGCACTGTCCATCCTCTTCCCCTTAGAATTTTGATTAGTTCTGTGCTGAACAATTAGTTGTACACTGCAGTTGTAAGTGTTTGATATATACATACTTTGTCAAAATTGAATTGCTGTGATCAGTTAATTCTCTATTGCATTGCTGTATATCTGCAGAGAAAGCAACATTGTGGGAGAAAACTCCCAGATCAAATCTATTCAGATAACATTATAAAATGGTTAAACTCTCAGCTTTAGACTGGAGGATGGCCTGAGTGTCATAGTGTTATGACCAGTTGAGTTTTTTTAACTGGTGGAGAAGGAAGATAAAGTAAGGTAAACATAAACCTTTCTTGGTATTCCTTAGGACCTGTTCCTGGCATAGTCTGCCCACTATGCTTGGTGATGCCAAAGACTTAGAAAGCTGCTCCATGGCAGCAGCTGAAAGTTCCTGTGTCTTTTGGATAGCTGGATTGGTAAAAGCACAGAAGGCGCTTCATACAACATGCCCCCAACTTCAGTGGCGTTCTGGGTGGCACTGGGACATAGGTGGGATGCTCATAGTGGCCTTCTGTGGGCACCAACCCTTCAGGAAATAACCTGCCTCAGGTGGTTTGGAGGAGACCTCAGGCAGTGGGCTTCTTCTCAACATGTACACTCTGAGCCAGGGATTTGGTTCTTCACTGTTCTCTCTCGTTGTACTCAGTCATGCTCCCACTAAATCTTCAGCAGTGACTGCCCTGGGTGAGGAACATGAGGCAGCAGAGCCTGCTGGGGAGCAATGAACGTGGTAGAAAGGGACTGTAGGGCAGAAATCACTGCACAGGCAGTGCAGTGTCACACTGGGAGGGACAGTCTTGTTCTTGGTTCTCTTGGATATGAGAGCCTTTGAATGCTCCAGTTGTTAGAGCAGGGTAGCTTACAAGCTGTTTGTTATTCCAGGGAGAGAACGGTGTATAAAGTGGAAGTCCTCACACCAACTCTCTGCCCTAGGGAGTGCTTCTTGGTGAAGAAGGGACAAGTCCCTTAGATCTGTGTCTGAGTCCCTTTCCAAATGCAAAATGAATAACTGTAAATATGGAGAGGGCGTATGGTACAATTTTATCCCAAACAGAACAAGCAAGGTTTCATCCGAAGTGATTTAAATTTGGATGTGACTTACTTTGAATTTCTCTAACATTTCTTTATACTAACATTTTATTTGTCTGTTCTTTTTATAATTGACATTGGCAATACAACTGCAGAGCATGGATGCCGTTTTTCACTGACAGCTTTTCAGAAATATGGAACAAATTCTGCAGAGAGCCCACATTTGAAATACTCATGGAGATGTCTGTGAGACATCCTGATGGGCAAATACAGACTTTCCTTCTTTTAATTCAAAATTCAGTGATCCTTTGAAAAGAGTTGGAGGAGTGGATGGGATACCTTTATTCCATACCAATTCTGATAGAGGTCTAATGTGAATCTTCCAGATCTTGGGCCAAATTCTTCTCTTATGCAACAGCAAGCTCTGAAATCAAGTCTTCTTTTTCTGCATGGCTGAGGAGAATGCTGTTAGTACTTGCCAATGAGCCCGTGCTCTTCATAGCTCTTTTTTTCCACCTTGTGGGTGGTGATGGAAAGGTGTACATGTCAGGCTTCTGTCACTGCACAGAAAAAAATAAACTAGCACTGCAGAGAACTAAAAAGTACAGACAGAGCTAGCCAGTTTTTTCAAACCTAGAATTTAGTTGTCTTCATAGTAATGGGTTTCTTTTAGTAGGAAATGAACACTGAAAAGAACAAAAGGATGGCAGAGAAGCATTGAAAATGGACCTTGGTGCACAGAGAGGGATTTTCTTTGCAGAGTTTCAATGCTGAAGCCTTTAGAAAAGAACACTTACAGATGTTTGATTTCTTTCAGGTCTTCAGATTTTGGGACATTATACACAAAGTTGAATCTACAGCCTGGGATTGCCACTGTTATTGACAATTTCTACATTTGTTCCACCAACAAAAAGAAGGTATGTGGCAAAAAACCATTTTTGTAGTGCAGGTGAGATTCTGCAACTATGTAAAGAGTGTTTTACAGGTTTTCACAACAATATAGGAAACTGATTTTCACGATGGTGAAGATCACCTTTGGTGCATTTCTGACATACAGAAGTGGGATGTTTATTTTTCCTGAATAGTACGGACAGAAAAAAATTACCTTGATGGATATGGAAACCTTATGAGATCATTGACTCATACGACTCCTGGAAATCAAGCTTTCATAGTGTTTTCCATGCAAATGAAAGAACAAATTCTGTCAGTTTTCACACATCCCAGTGGATTCTGGGACTTACATTCAAACTCTTCATCCTTAATGCATGAGGTTCTTTGCATGTTTCTTAATATAAAGTATAGGGATTGTGCAGGCTGCCATTGATAATTATGTTTATCCCATGTAGAATCTTAATTAAATAAATTAAAAAAAAAAAAACCCTCTTGCAGATTTTCTAAGAAATGTTACTGCATCATTACTAACAAAAAAAACACTTTTCCTGGAACCTGGAAAGGTTAAATGGACTTTATAAGTGAGAGAGAAATTGACCCACTGAGTGTATTTACAATGGATGTTATATTAGAAGCAACAGGAACAATGATTATGAGAAAAAATCATGGTAACAGCCCTTCTGTGTCTTCAAAGTGCCTGTGATTTAAATGGCAAGAATTGTGAAGTACAATGTGAAGCATAAGTACAGTGGGTCTTTCATGAAATAAGAGTTTTCTCTTGATAAGGACCTTTTAAATCCAGTGTAATATAGAAACACTGATTTCAGGTAGAGGCCTCTGATTGGAAGAACAGTGTTTGTTGTGTTTGTCTGTCTGTTTTGCTTAATCAAAAAATCAGTAGAACTCTGTAAGGCTGCGCCTTTTAAATCCCTTTAATACAGAAACACTGATTTCAGGTAGAGGCCTCTGATTGGAAGAACAGTGTTTGTTGTGTTTGTCTGTCTGTTTTGCTTAATCAAAAATCAGTAGAACTCTGTAAGGCTGCCTTGATGATTAAGTACATACTGTGTTTCCCTTGAAATTGTCACTGGAATTTTGTGCCCAAGCTGTGCTATTTCTGAGATTGGTAATGTATTTTTAATCTGCTGCAAAGCCAGAAAGTATTATTTTGTTTCTTGAGGTGGAATTGCCAACAAGCACAAAGTTTCTTCAGATTGTGTATCTCAAATATGCAATCTACTGGTGGTTTCACGTCCGAAAGAATAAAATCAAAAATCTTTACCCATCTCAGTTTCTAGAATAAAAACTAGAAGGATGAGATGGATGAGATCCCCATGGAGGAACTTTCCCAGCTCAGTCAGTTACAATATCAAAGCCTGCCCAAGCACAAGGGTTCAGTGACAATATGATTGTGCCAGTTGTGTGAAAAAATAAACAGCAGTAAGATCACTCTTTATTCCAAGCCTGAAAGACACACCAGTCATCGCAAGAACCCTCATGTTAATCCTAAGAAAAATCTATATTCTACTGAATTTCACAAGTTGAATTTCTTAGAGATACAAACCTCACTTAGTAAACTAATCGGATATTGGAAGCCAGATGATACAGAAAGTCCCTTTGAGTCAATAGAAATATGCTATTTTTATGTGAATATTTGCTTCTGTGAAGGTGTTGTTTACTAGCATACAAACAACAAAAACAGCACAGCAGAAATTATTTTAGGGCCTTTAAATTATGCCAGAGGGAGATACATTATGCATGGAAATATACATACATGCATGTGTGGTAAAAAAAAATTATGAAAGCAGTGGGGTTGCATGTTTTAACCAATGGTTTCAGACTGTTCTTGGGGGTTTTGCAGTCACCTGTGGAAGGTAAGACGGAAGTCTTCATGTTCTAAGTCTGTTGCAATGGGAAATTTTAGGTGCTGGACCTTTGATTAGGGAATTAAGAGCAAGACTAAGTTGATCTCAGACAAGTTGTTTGTGATGATGGAGGAACATATCTCCCCGTCTGTCTATATCAACAGAGTTGCATGGGGTGTAATAGACTATTTAGAACTCTGACTCCCTTTTGTGAGCTGAGCAGACATCTCAGGGTTTTACTTGTTCTTGATGTTACTTCAGATCATTATGGTGTGGGTTTTCTTCAACCAGTTCACATCTTTTAAAATGTGCTGAAAATGGAAACTGGATTGCTGACTGCATACACTGGAACTGAGCACGCACTTTAAATTTAAAGTATAAGTAGTCCCATGCTACCACTTAGCATTTAGTGACTGGGAAAATACATGAAAGCAAAGATAAAATACATTTATGAGGATTTTTAATACTTCACATAGTAAAAAGTGTTCTATGATTTCATTTCATTTAGCCATTGTTGTCCTCATCTGTGGAAGAACAGATTCTGCACATTTAAAGCACATCATTCCCACCTCAGTGTCATCAGAGCATTAACCACACCTGAATTAAGTTCTTTAGAATTAGGTGTCTGGTCAATCTCTCTCCCTCTACAATCAAAAAAAAACAAAAAACCAAGAAACCCAAACCAAAACAAACCCCCAAAACCAACCAAAACCAAATAAAGGAGAAGTATGGGTATATCCAGGCAGTTCATACTGTCCCAAAAAACCAAGAAACCCAAACCAAAAAAAAACCCCAAAAACCAACCAAAGGAGAAGTATGGGTATATCCAGGCAGTTCATACTGTTAAAATCATAGTTCTTTGTGAGAATTCTATGAGAATAAGGTTGAATTATTTTGTGGAGGTCTCAGTAACTGACTTTGTGACTGTTGTGGTTTTGAACTGAATCAAACTGCGGCTTCCTGCAGACATACAAAGAGATGGGTCATGTGGCTGTACTGTTTGTGAGGCAGAGTTGAACTGCAGTCAGCACAAGTAGAAAACATTTTGACCTACCTGCAAATGACCAAGTAGGATCATAGATCATCACCCTAAATGCTGTGAAACAGCAGAATAATAGTCAAGGGCACACTCTAATTAAGAGTTTATGCTTCCTAAGGATGCATTAATATTTGGTTTGCATTCTGGCTGGTTTTAGTGTACTATAAACTAGCAGCTAAAGACACTGATAGTGTTTTGGAAAGCTGTAGACTAGAGAAAGGGAGTTCTGCTATGCAAGCTCTCTAATGCCAACTTCTCCATTTGAAGCACTTTTTCATTGATCTGTGTTATAAAATAGCCTTTCCCTATGCAGTCTTGAAAGGTTGTGCAGTGATAAGGGATGTCCCTGCACTTTAAACTACAAAATTTATGTAATTATCTTGGTTTCAGTAATTAGCACGTGCTGATAGCATCAAATGGTGCAGGAAATCCATCATGTACCACGGGCAGGAAATAATTTGCTTTGTGTTCTTTGTTTTCCAAACCAACATTTTAATTGTGACTTGAAAGTGTGATGTATGTGGTTTATAGAGTATGGGATTAAGACTTCCATAGCATCAATCTGGAATCAGGTGAACAAAGTTCTTTCTACAGAATAAAAAAGTTAGCAGAATTCAGTTTCACTAAGCTAAATTATCAATAAAATATTTAAATTTTTTTTTTGTTATATGTGCTATTGGATGAAAAATTATATATTTGATTTTATGTAGGGTTACTGGGGATGAGTTGAATGAACACAGTGATTTTTTTCCTCACATTCAGTGCATATTTTAATTTTAATTCATGCTAATGCAATTGGTGCATCCATCCTTCTGTTTATATGCTTTTGGAAAACATACAGCTAAGCAGTTGATATTCAGGCTTTTGATATTAAGAGAAAACAAGTATTGATTGTGATACACTAACTTATTAGTTAAATGAGTTGAACACTTACATTTCCCGGCTGTCACAATAACCAATAGCTGCATGTTTTTTCCAAACTGAAAGGCAAGGTGACAAACATATATTCTTGCTTGCCAAACAAGTATCTTATTACTTAAGATAGTAATAAGGATATAGACTTTTTTAATACATTATTTTAACTCCTGATAATTTAAATAGTATGCATTACACTTTGCAGAAGAGTATTTGCCAGAACTCTAAAAGCCCTTCCCAAGATGCAGTTGTTTTGAGAAATGTTTTTAAGTACTTACAGGTAAATACAGTTCTACATAATTTTGACATTTGTATTTCAGAGCAGAACAATTGGTTGTGAAATTAGTCAAAATGCAGTATGACTACATTCACTTGTAAGGAATAATTCTACTCAAATATCAGTTTCCTTAGATACCATGCCAGAACCTCTGCAAATATAGAGAGCAGAATTTTCTTACACTTTTACTAGTACTCAGGAAAGGGATATTCCTTTCAATAGGATGAGTAGTTACTCGAGGAACATTTCCATGTGAAATTACAGAATATGAGTTTGTATGTTGAGATCTCTACCATGATGTGTTCTTGCCTTATAAGCAGTGTCACCATTCTGTTTTATTCCAGGGATGCACCATCAGAGCACTAATCTGACCTGACTGCATCATTTTGCTTAAGGCTTAAGTCCATGACTGTTCAGTTTGTCTTCAGGTATTCTAGATACTACCAGAAATATGCCCAATAATTAACTCTTTATTTTTTTTCCCCCACCCATACTTTGCTAGTTGGTAGATTGCTGTGTGAGGCAGTCCTGGACAGAAATCCCATATTTTATTCACACACAATTGATGAGCAGTTGCTTTGTTGACAACCAGGAAGCTGCTAAATGCAAGTGGAACTCAATAGGTTAAAACAGTTAGAGCTTTCATTGAGCTGTTAGCTGAAGTCACAGTCCACAGCAGAGGTTCATCCAGCACTACCAAACCCATGACATATATGGGGAGGATTTGATGGATGCTGTTTGATGGGGTGTGACTATGTATATGTGGAAAAAATAGGATAAAGCTTTGAGAAATAGAGTGGAACTGTTGAAAATTAAAGCTGTGGATGAAACAATGGCTTGGGATCTGGCTATTAAAGAAGTATTTGAGTTATTTACTGGCTAAATGGAAGGCAGGAACCATAGCTTTCCAGCTGGACTGATTTGTGCTAT